TATTTTACTTAAAAGATCCCACAAAACATCTACAGCAGCCTCCCCAAGGCTTTTCCATGCTTCTATCGGGATGTTATCCGGTCCAACAGCTTTGTTTGATTTCATTAATCTCAGCGCCTTTTCCAATTCGCTACAGGATATGTTATCAGTCCTCTCTGTTGGTAAGCTCGCTCCTATTTCCACTCTTGGGTTCTCTACATTCATTAAGTTTTCAAAATATTCCTTCCATCTCCTTTTTATGGCATCATCATTATGCAAAACATTTCCTTCTGTATCCTTCATATGCCTGATATGTGTCTGATCTTTGTTCGCTTTTTTAAGCCTTTCTTTATTTTCCTCATTTCTGTTTTTGTAATATTCCTTCCTTGCAGTCTTCTTCTGCTTTATAGTTTCCAAGATTTCTTCCATCCACCACCAAGTTTCCTTGTCATTGGGTGGTCCTTTACCAGATGTCATCCCCAATATTTCCTCTGCAGCTTGTTGGATCATTGAAGCATTCAAATTCCACCACTCTTCAACCCCCTCCCTCAACTTTATCTGCTCCACCACTCTCTCCCTGAACATACTTCTCTGGTCTTCGTCTTTCAAATTCCACCACTTAATCTTAGGTATTCCCCTTTTCTTTCCTTGCCTTCCTCTTTTGATGTTAAACTCCCCAATAATAAGGTGATGTTGTTTGGCAGCTGTTTCTCCCTTAATTACCCTAAAATTTTTGACTTCACTCATTTTACTTCTCTTGTATAATATGTAATCCAATTGTGTTTCCTGTCCTCCACTTTCATATGTGTTGTAATCCATCTTTTTAAAGAACGTGTTCAATATAGCCAGATCGTATGCCACCGCGAAGTCAATTACCCGTTCTCCGTTGGGACTTACAGCCCCACTCCCATATCTACCATGGACACGCTCTATTGCCAAGTTTCTCTCTCCCACGTGACCATTGAAATCACCAGCAATCAAGGATATTTCATCCTCCGGTATCTCTGTGCACACACTATCTAGGTCTTGCCAAAATTTGTCTTTCTCTTCATCATCGCAGCGTATGTGTGGTGCATATACACTCATTATATTAATGATTGTATTTCCAATATTTAGTTTAATCAACATTATTCGGTCATTCTTTCTCGAGACACTGATGACGTTTTCTTTATGATTGGGACTCAGGATTATTCCAACTCCATTCCTTCCTCTTCCATCTGCTTCACTGTAGAAAAGTATAAAGCCTCCCCCCAGCTCTCGGGCCTTATTCCCCCTCCATCGTGTTTCCTGTAGGCAAAGTACCTCCAACTTTCTTCTCTCCATGAGATCCACAACCTCCCTCCCCTTTCCTGACATTGTGCCAACATTAAGGCTGCCGACTTTAACGGCTTGAATTTGAGTGATGTTATGCATTTCACCTCTCCCTGCAAAACCGGATATTCTTAGCACCCTCTGCCCATTTAAGGGCTGCCGAGGACTGAGGGCCAATATTCTTTCAGCTTCTGTCATGTTGGTTTGGAGCGGTTTTTATTTTACGCCGCGGATGCCCTTCCCGTCCAGCAACACTCTACATTTATCCGGGCTTGTGACCGGCACTCAGTTGGGCTGGCTTGCCCCCCAAGTGGCTGCATTATATATAAATAATATATATATATATATATATATATATTATATATATATATATATATATATAATAGTATATATATATATATATATATTTATTATATAATATATAAATATGATATATAATAGTATAATATATATATATAATATATAGATAATTATATATATATGTAATATATATATTATATATATTATATACATATATATATATATATATATATTATATATATAATATAATATAATATAGATAATATATATTATATATAATATATCTATATAATGGTATATATATATATATATATATATATATATATATATATATATATTATATATATTATATATATATAATATATATATATATATATATATATATATGTTTATTATATATCTAATTTATATTATATATATATATACTATATTATATGAGTGTATATAATATATAGTATAGAATTTATTATGTATATTTATATAGTATATTATATATTTGTTACTATATATATATATATATATATTATATATATGTATAATTAATTTATATATAATATATATATATAATATATATAATAATATATATATATATTATATATATATATATATATATAATATATATAATTATATATAATATATAATGATTTTATATATATATATAATATATAATATATATATATATATATATATATATATATATAATATATATATATATATATATATATATATATAATATATATATATATATACTACTATATATATACTATATATATATATATATAATATATATGTAATATAATATCATATATATATAGTATATATAATAATATATATATATTTAATATAATATATTTATATAATAATATTTATTATATGGATACTAGTATATAGATAAGCTATCAGTGAGCTGTTGTATAGGTTATATAAATATTACCTTATATAATATATTATAAAGTAGTATGTATAGTGGCAGATCGGGGGGCAGAGGAGAGGTTGGATTAATATATAGTATATCCGTTTATATTTGGATTAGGATAGAATTGATGTAGTGTGATATACTAGCGTATACGGTGGATCGATAGCGGTGTGTTAATGTAGGGTGTAATATCAGAATATAGGTATATATACTATATGGTATTTATAATATCGTTGTTTGTAGAGTATCTACCAGCATGATATTATATAGAAATTAATAGGCTTTGTAATTATAATGTAGATGTAGTATAATATATCTGCTATTAATTGATTATGTATATACGTTTATAGTTTATTATGGTATGAAGTGATAGAAAGTATATACGTAATATAACGGAAGACATAACGTATGAAGTGATGTGTGGACTGGAATATTCATGATATACTATGTTTAATTATAGTTGATGCTTTATATGTATCGTTTGATAGAATATTACTCGATGATATGATAGACTGTATAGTTACTATCATAGGGAGGTGTGAAATGATTATATATGTTATAGTATATATGATATATAGTATATATACGTATAGTATTTATTATATAGTATATTAAGTATATATGATAGTTTGATATATAGTATAATAATATTATATTGTACATTAGTAATACATATATGATATACATTAAATTAATATATATATATAGATATAATATAGTATTATAGTAGTAGATATTAGTATATTAGATATATATATATAGTATATATAGATATTATTAGATTATATGTAATAGTATATATATATGTATTATATATATATTATATATAATATAAATATATACATATATACTATATAACATATCATATATATATATAATATATATATATATATATATATATATATATATATATACTACATACATATATATACATATGAATATGCATATATATATATAAACATTATATATATATAATAATATATTATAATATATATAATATAATATATATATATTATATATATATACTATATAATATATATATATATATATATATATAATATATATATAATTTTTATAACATATATATGCATATATATATACATGTATATACATATATATAAACATATATACATATATATATACATATACATACATATGTATACATATGTATTCATGTACATATAAACATGTATACAAATATACATATATACATATACATCCATGCACACACACACACACACACAAACATATATATATATATAGTATATATATATATATATATATATATATATATATATATATATAATATATATATATATGTATAATTGTCTATGGTAGTATAATCTGACTGAAGATTTCCATGATACTAGCAATGTCAAGCAGTTGGCACAGCCTTTAACAATTCAGTGAAGGCTAACAGAATTCAATATGATATATTCTGAAAAGATCAAGCTCTATTGTTTTGATGTGCATTGCCATCCATATTAATTCTATTTAACCAGAATATGTATGGAGGAAATTTGCTAGCCTTTGCAGGTACACCAAAGGTATGTAGGCCAGTGGCATAGTTCCCTAACATATTTTTACCTGCTTCAGTTTCTTTAGTATCAGCAAAGAAGACCTTTTGATAAAATTTAAGAAGTAACATTCGATGATTGAATTTCATTTATAAAAGAATAATGCTCAATAAAATATAACTCCTTACTCAGTATGATATTCTTTACTGATCTTTTCAAACTGTAATACAAATGTAGTAATATTAAGTAACCTATTGTTGTCCATTAATGACATGATCTTATGAAATAAGATAGAACTATGAGAAGAAAAATATCAGTAAGGTTACACAATTGATATAAGAAAGTTAAAATACACATGCTACAGTAACTTCTAACATAATTTTCAGTCAGAAAAGTGGTATTTACAACAAGCTGTATATGTCAGTCATTCTAAAATTTTAAGTAAATAACAGTATTAGTGACTGGAATCTTTGAATGTAGGTCATACTTCAGCAGCCCAAGGTTTCCATAGTGAAAGTGATATTGACTATTAACCTTGAAAACTATGATCCAATGGAAGTTTTCTTATAGATTTTCTTGTCTACTATATATATATATATATATATATATATATATATATATATATACATACACACACACACACACACACACACACACACACACAACACACACAACACACACACACACACACAACACACACACACACACACACACACACACACACATACACACACACCAAACCACACACACACACACACACACACACACACACACACACACACACACACACACACACACACACACACACACACACACACACACACACACACACACACTTCTCGCTCGGCGTCGCGTCTCACTCACACTCACACTCAACTCACACTCACCACTCACACTCACACTCACTCACTCACTCACTCACTCCACTCACTCACTCACGTCACCTCACTCACTCACTCACTCACACACGCACACAC